AATATATTTTTTTATTTTTTTTTATATAATTTTACTAATAAAAATAAAATATCTTTTTTTGTATTTTTTATATTTTATAAAACAAAATATTATATATATTTATACAAATTTTGATATATTAAAATTATTTTTTTATATAAGTTTAATTTTATGATATTTTTTTATTATTCATATGATAGGAGAAATATAAAAAATAAAATATTTATTAAATATATATATATATTGTATATATATTGTATATATATATATATATACAAATCACTCTGTCATTAATAATCGGCATTTAATATAAATTATATTATTCTCTCTTTATGGCATCTATATGTATGTCATTGTGCCGTGTTCTTCCACATTTTGCGCAATTATCTTATAAAATTCCAATTCTTTTACATTTGAAAGCAAACTATACTGTAGACATGACAAAAAAGACAGCAATTTTATTGATTGCTGATGGTTCGGAAGAAATGGAAGCTGTAATAACGACGGATGTTTTACGACGAGCTGGAGTAATATTTTTATTACATATAACCTTAAATTATATATTTATACTTTATATAAATATTAAATATACAAATATTTTATTAAATATGGAATTGAAATATGAAAATTGAAAAATTATATCATAAAAAAAATTTTTTTTTTCTTAAATATTAATAAATGAAATAATTTAATTTATTATGATTATTCTATGATGTAAATTTTATGCAATCTATTTATTTATTTATTTTTAGATTGATGTTACTGTAGCTGGCCTTACTGAAAATCCATATGTTAAATGCAGTCGTAATGTAAAAATACATATTGATGCAAAGCTTCAAGATGTAATTAATCAAAAATATGATGTTGTAATATTACCTGGTGGTTTAGATGGTTCAAAAGCTTTTGCATCTGTAAGTAAAATTAATGTTTCTTTTTTTAGAAAACATATATTAATTAGCTTTTATGTTTTCAATAGTCTGCAGAAGTGGGAAAATTATTACAACAACAACAACAAGAAAACAGATTTATTGCTGCTATTTGTGCTGCACCTACTGCATTAAAGGCTCACGGTATTGCAAAAGGAAAGCAGATTACATCTTATCCTGCAATGAAGGATCAATTAGTGGATTATTACAAATATTTGGAAAATAAAGTTGTTATTGATGGTATGTTTTTATACATTTAATTCTATTTGTCAAAAATAAAAATAATTTATTTATGTTTATTATATTTTATTATATAAATATTTTATTATATATTTTTTATTATATATTTTTTAGATAATTTAATTACTAGCAGAGGTCCTGCAACAGCATTTGCTTTTGGATTAGCAATTGCTGAAAAATTAATTGATAAACAAACAGCAGATAATGTAGCACAAGCAATGCTATATGTACAATAAATGAAATGAGTTCTTAAATAAATCAGTCCTTAATTAAGCATGTTATGTATGATTTATGTTATATATTTAAATTTAATAAATTAATATTATGCAATTAATATTATTTAATTATGATTTGATTTTTACCATTTATCAAATTTTTTCTTAAACATATGTATAAATTCAAAATATCTGCTTGCTGTGTTATGTAATTTACCATTTTGGTCAAATTCCTTAAAGTCTACCATCTTTAACTATTATGTAGTCAATGATTGTAATATTTGACATTTTATAAATATCCATCCAAAATATATTATTATTTATCGCATAATTTAATTCGTCATATTAGCTAAAAAAAACAAATGTTAAATATAATATTAATATAAAATAAAATATATTAAAATAAAAACTTAATGTTTAAAAAATGTTTGAAAGTGATGATTGGGATCTCGATCAGGTAAATTGAAAATATTTTTCGCAGAAAATTTGTATTAAATATAATAATCATTTATTTTATGAAATAATTAATTAAAATATTATATTTAATAAAATATATATTATAATATGTAAACATTTTTATAAAAATAATTATTTAACACATTTTTAGGATTTCTTGAATGATATAGATGATAAAATAAATAAGTATTGTTCTCAAAAAGATAATCAAGAAAGTGAACCTAAAAGACGCAAAATAGATATTAATAATGATTCAATTTCATCATCTATTTCTAATATAGATTGTTGGGAACAAAATATTATTAACAAAACTACATTGAAATATAATGAAAATAAAGAATCAAGAAAAAATTTAATTCTTGGGATATTTAATAAAAATTTATCACAAAAAAATGTATCAAAAGATATGTTAAATGATCCAAAAAGATCGTGTGATAACATTTCATCAAACATCCATATTAATGAAGTACATACTTGTGAAAATAATCAATTACCTAGAAAAAATTTAGTACTTGGAATACTTAAAAATAAAAATATACAGGATAAAATTATAGAAGATAATACCAAAAACTTAAAATTACAAACAAAAATTAAAGATAATAGTGGTAATATTAATGAGAAAATAAAAAGTACATCATTAAATAAAAAAATAAATTATCAAATATCTAAAAGTATATTTGAAAATACCTTAAATAATGATGATTTCAAACTATGCATGTTTGAACATTCAAGAAAACAATTATCTTGTAATATATTAAAGAAACAGTTTACAAATAATATTCAATCCAATAATTCTATAAAAAATTTGCTTGCATGTAAAACTCCACAAAATAAAAAAATGACATTAATTAGAAAATTTCCAGGACCAGCTGGTTTATTACCAGATGATTTAGACTCTAATATACTTTGTGTTTCATATTTAAATAGCTTAGAAGAAAATGAAATGTCAAATAAAGAGACTAATACAAATAATTTATCTGAATATTGTTCTCAAAATACAAAAAATCTATTCACAGAAGGTGCTTGGCAATTAATGTTAGATGATTTGCCACAAGATTTTTTGAAAGATCATAACATTGCCACTGTTAAAAAAATAGCAAATATGAATGGCTTCAATAATACAAAAGTTAAATTTTTAGCAGGAATAATTGAACATATAGATTATAGTCATGATAATCCTCCTATTATTTTAAAAGATTTTACAGACAATATTCGAGGAATCCTTCACAGAGACATACCACTTAAATATCCTGGTTTATTAGAATCTAATGTTGTTGTATTATTACACGATGTAGGTCTTTTAAAAATTTCTGGAACTTTTGTTTCTAATAAATATCAAATTTTAATTTCACCCTCAAATTTATTAGCAATTTATACTAGTAAAGGTATAATAGAACGTACGCAATATATGAAAACAATTTTTGGAAATATTTTAGATGGAAAGACAAAGATAATAGAGAAAGAAAAAGTGGATTGTATTTCTACAATAGAAATAGAACCATTAAAAAATAGTATTCATTTAATTTCAAAAAAAAATACAGAGCTAATAAATTTCAAAGAGAACATAGAAAATAATAATAAAACAGATTCCAATTTTTCTAATTTAAATTTGAATGAAACAAATGAAGATATAAATAAATCAATGAATTTTGATAGTGATATATTTTTTTCAATTCCTTCTAATAATATTACAGATTCACAAAATCAAAAGAATTTTAATAGTTCCAAGTTTAAAAATGTAAAACATATGAAAAAAGAAACTAAACAACAAAAGTCTAAACAATCATTTATAAAAGAAGAGGAAAATTTACAAAATGATGATAAACAAAGAGCTGAATATTTATTAAAAAACTTAAAAAAATATTCTCCAGAAATAAATGAAAAAAAATGTCTCTCTCATAATTCCAAGATTTTACAAATGAATGCTGAGCATTTATCGTCAAAAAATATTTATTCTAAAGAAATTGAGCCTAAAATATTAAATAATATATCTTTTGAAAAAATAAACGTCGATAAATGCTTTGAAAAAACTATTTCTCCATCTTGTCATAAAAAAGTGAATAGTAAAATAGAAAAGAATGTAACTTCTATACGAACTAAATTATTACAGTTCCAAAATATAGATATATTATCCCCAGAAAATTCTGCATTTACAATTCCATCAGATATAAAAGAAAAATTTAAAAATCTTTCACAAAAAAAATCATCAGAAACTTCAAGTTTTATGCATAAATTTGACGATAACGAAAATGATTCTGATGATGAAATGTTATCTCAATTAGATATGAATATCATTTTCAGCAATTATAGTAATAAAAATTAGATACTTTTGATATGATATTAAAAAATTTAATTATCCGCTGAAAATTACGGATAATAATAGATTATATTTTTATATCGAAAAATTTGGAAAAGATCTCTATTTATATACATTTATATTATGTTAAATATTATTTCAAAAATACCAACATATATGTAAATATTTATTATATATTTTTGTACAGAATATAAATAAAAAAGTAAATATATTTTTTACTTGAATTAACATATTGAAATGTAACAAATTCCTGTAATATTTTAATGATATTATTTATTAATATTTCTAAAAATATTTGATCTTTCCCGAATTTATTTAGATGAATTATTATTGCACAACAAAAAATTGAACAAGATACTTAATTCGTCAAATATGAAATATTAAATATTCGAAATAACTATTATTTTAAGATTATTCACGATATATTTATTTTCAAATAAACATCATAAAAACATTATATCAAGAAATTGTTCATTTCTCTTTTTTGCTATTGAATACGATTAAAATTTTTGATTATTTATATTTAAACGATAATCATTAATTTTAATTTAAAAAATAGTTTAGAATACCAATTTAGAATAGATCAAAGATATATTTTATGATACATATTAAATAATTAAATATTTTTTTAATAAATCTATTTAATTTTTTTTCTTAAAGCAAGAAATTGTAAAAATTATTTAAAAAATAGTAAACGAAATTTGAAAATAATTTCTCATGTTATATATATTATTACTATACAATAATATTTATTATTACTATTGAATCAAGGGTACTTGAAGATATATACCTATATCAGCAATGATCTCAATTTTACTGACATTAGCCTGAATATCAGCCCTCGCCAATCATAAGCGTAGAATCGATCTAGAATCTTTATAAATGAGATCTTTACAATATAATCCATGTATATGCTAATGGAGATCTATTGGATCAACCTTGATATGCCCTGATTATCCGATGGTACATCTAGGCGTATGATCGTGTGATTATGAATTATATAATTTTGTCACATTAGTTGCATGAGATAGATATCTGCATTAAAATAAAATTATACATTACATGCTGAAAATATGTAAATGAAAATAATTTGAGATCATTCACTAGTCAAATCAAAAAATAATGCAGAAGTTTAATCTCATGATAAGAAAAATTATCATGGCAAATATGGAAAAAAATAATTTCAAAATTAATATTATCTATTGTATTTTGAATACTAATGAACAAATTTTTTTTTTCTTTTCTCACAAAATTTTCAATTATCAAAAATATTCAACAAATTTTATTCTAATTTTTATTTTGTGTTAATAAAATAAAAATTCTTATTTATCATTAATTATAATTAATAGATATTATTATGTCGCAAATTTAATATTAATAATTTAAATTTATGAGTAATATTTTTCTATAAATATATTTTATTACAATTCATATGTATTTTATTTTCTTTCAATCATAGTCTTTATAAAATTTTAATCTCTTTTATGTTGTTAAAAATTCCATCCAATTATGTAAGTTTATACGTAAGTAAGCATATGCACAACCACAAAAATTTAAAATTATAATCGAATGTATAATCTTTTTTTATAATTATCGAGCAATTTATCGTAATTTTCCAGAAATATAATTATAATGTTTAAAAATATTATTTTCTTTTTTGTCGTAATATACGAATAATATTTATTTTAATAGAGCTTTGTTTAAAAAAAATATGCAAATGCTACATTATTAATTCGAGTTTATTCATACTGTTGTGTTTCCTTCAAATATAAATTACATATATATAACTTTAAAGAACTTTCGATAAGTTCGAATGATTAAAGTGTATAGAATATGAAATAATAATCTTGTAAAGATATGCAATAACAATAAAATTGATACTTGTATCAAAAAAATATCTATTTTTATTTAAAAAAAACTAAAAATCGAAGCATTATTATAATTGATTATTAATCAATTGATTCTATAAGTATTTTTAATTAATTGATTATTGCATTTTAAAAGTTTTTTTGAAATATTTTTCGAAATATTTTTTCCATTTCGTTTTTTCGAATAATAAATAAATAAATTTTTTTATTATTTTAAATAATCAAAGTTTATTATTAATATCTATAATAAATTATATCTATTATATTCATTAACAAGCATAAATTAATTATATTGTAATAAACAATTGTTTATTGTTCTTTTTCTCACAATTTTTACAAATTATTTATTATTAATTTAAATCTCATCATTAATATTTTTTGAAATTGACAACTGATAAGATATTCTGATATAACAGAAGGACATGTTAGACTGTGTGTCTCGAGATAAATGATGATCACGTTGAAAATTCTTTACTGATAGCCGCAATATATAACAATGTTATCGGACATTTTCATGATATTTGATTTTCGCGCATCTTTTTATCAGAAATATCGTTTCACGATAAATATATTTCAGACTGTATACTTATTGTATTTTATTATACCTATTTTATAAATCCTATCATCAGAATGATAAATTGAAATTCGATCATAACATACAAAGTGAATTTCGAAAATTTTTAAAACTGACATAAACGACAAATTAAACAGGTCTCTTTTTAGTCTAGACTAAAGTTTGCACAAATATTTTGAATATTCACTTATGTTAATTTTGAATTTAGTATTATTGTTATTTGAATAATTATCTTTTTGCGTCACATATAGAGATAATTCGACCTTATTCTGATTATTGTTTGTAATATTGCATTAATCATTATTAAATCGTCATTAATTAACCAGAAAAAAAATATTAATCAGAAAAAACTTGAGTTACAGTAACAAAGTTAATTTAATGAATAATAAAGGATAAAGTTGGATATTTAAATAATTTAAAGTAGATCTTCATTCATGGATATAATCGATGAAGTTGAATATTTAAATATCAAAATTAAATCAAACCTATTATGTATGTTTAAATAAATTAATATAAGTATTATTAATTATGCAAGTATTATTAAGTATCATAATTATGCATAAAAAAAAAAATAAAATACATAATATATAAGAGAAAATATATTATGATATACAATAATATCGTCTAAAGAATGATAAAAAAATATAATTTTAGATTCATTAATATTTAAATTTAAATAAAGACAAGTTCAATTATTTAAAAAAAAATTTAATAAAATTAAAAGAAAATTCTCAAAATAATATAAAGTAATTAGGTAACAAATAATTATTCCGATGAATTATATGATTATATGAATTTATATAAAGTTATTTATATTCTTTTTTTTATCAAATTAAATTCTTCACAAAAAGAAAAAAAATAGAAAAAAAGAATAAGTTTTCATAATGTAATGAATGTATCACTTGTATTGAAAAAAAAAAAAACGTAAAATAATCGCGTTACACGTGAACAACGCGAAATTTTCATTAACAGATAGATGTTAACATACTTATTTGAATGCTTGTCAATATATTGCAGAGATCTGTAATTTAAAAGTATCATAATATATATTTTATCTAGAATATTGCGAAACTAGAAATTAAATGATTTCAAAAATTTTTCACAATTATATAATCTAAATATTTTTTTTTTTTTAATAAATAACTTTTACTTATTATTCTAATTTTTCTCTTCCCATTATAAATTGGTTATTTTGACAGATTATTTGATAGATATGATAATAAAAATAATTAATATTAATATTATTAAAATAAATAAATAACTGCTTATTATTATACTTTTAGAATATATATATATAAGTAAGAGAAATTTCCTTATCGAATATGATATTATGTATTATGTTTGAAATATCTGACTGATTGAATTTTCATAACATAAGGTAATTGACGTCCGATAATTGACACGAAATAATATCGTGAAAACAATTTACGTATTCATGCTTTTCAATATTCAAATAATTTACACTTAAACCCACCTATTATATATATATATAAATATATATACAGTTCATTTATTTTTTTCGATTCTTTTTTTTTAAATCATGTTTTATCACAAATTGAAAATTGAATTTAAAATATAATTTGCAAAAAAATATATATCAATAAATTGTAATGTGGGAAAAGTGAGCGATAGGCAGACAGAGAGGGGATAATTTCGTACAACAGAGTACAGGAGAGATATAGAATGGCACAGTATAGTCGAGTGCGTGGCGCGAAACAGGTAGTGGTGCATTTGTTGAAATGATAGGTCACTTCGATTGGTTAAGTCTATTTAGAATTTCACGATACAACTGAGAAAACATTTAATGGAAGTTTCATGTTTCCAATCGGTCCTCGCTGAATGCATATTATCGATTTTCGATTCGATCACGATTGAACTATCGACCTTCTTATAACAGACCTACCTTCTTATAACAGATCCCGACATTTTCGATTTTTATTTCGATTTTTTTTTATGTCATATTCCATAAATTGATAATTATAGATTTTTTTATTTTTATCGATAATCTCGATTATCGAATAATATTAACAATTTCATTTAAATCTTTTTTTTTTTACATTTTATGTGAAAATATAATAGCAGTGAAAATTCTACGAATAAAAATTTATTTGGAATGCACGGATCTGTGCACACGCCTTGGATTACGTCCCCGTGAAGATAAAGGGATCGAAGTAGGAAAAAAGCTAAATATTTGAGTAAGTGATATTGCTTGAATTTCAAATATTTCATATATAATATTCATTTTTATTTCAGTATAAATAAAATAATCAATATAATTATCAATAGAAATTAAAATACGATAATTACTTCTTTCACTAATGAATTGAAAGTAAGAGCTGTTTTTAATTTATACTTATTTATCGGTGAATGTTTAACTTGAAAAATATGATATACTCTCATATAAAATACAATATATAATAAAAATAAATAAGGTAAAATATATAATTAAATAAATATAATATTTTAATGAAAATATTTTTATTATTACATTTTATAAATTAAACTTTTTTATTTATTTATTTCTTTTTTTTTTTGGTTTTTCAATTTTTTTCAATTGATTAATTTTATCTTTAAAATAAGATTCCTAATTGATTTTAAATAGAATGATAATTTTTTCATCATTTATTCTAATTATCGATGAAGCAATGATGAATGAAGCAAATGAACTATAGTGAAAGTAATTTAAATTAGTGCAAAAAGAAAAGAAAAAAATAATTTTTAAAATATATTATCCTTTAAATATAATTAATTCCTTAATCTATTTTAACCTAGTTTTTTCTCTCTCTATCTTTACTTTTGATCCTTGTCTTGATATTTCTGTACAGATCATTGATCCTTACGAAAGAACAAGTTACCAGCAATTCAAAGTTGCGGATACCACATTATGCAATGAGTTGTACCTAAAAGTATAGAAGCACGAGTTGCATTTCAAATGACATTGACATAACATATATTTAGGAGTCTCTGGCAACACACATTTCACAACAAAATGAATATGGCAATAAAATTGAAAATGTTCAAAGAATTAAATAAAATACTATGCGCGTAATATATCTACATATATAAATTAAGCAAATGCTACACTTGTTTTTTATCTTAATATTTATTGATAAGTCAAGTCTAAAAGTAAATTTTATCATTTATTTTAGATATCATTTAAAAATATTTCAATAGAAATATATAATTTATCTAAAATATATGTTTATTTAATTTAGCATTATGTATTATATATTATTATCTACAGTATTATAAATTGAAATTAGAATGATTAAAATTAAATTTCTTTGATTTCTTTAAAAATCTAAAAATGTTTTATGCTTTCATATTGTAATTTTTGTTAATCACATTTTTAAAAATTTAATATACTATTATATAATTTTGTGTTTTTTTCAATCATAAATTTGATAACATGTAAAAAAATCTATTTATAGATATATAAATTTCATTATTTTTTTAAAAAGCTTTAAGAGAAATATATCCCAATAATATTGACCCAATAAATACCACTGACCAAACCTGGTTTTCACTTCTCATCAGATATTAACATTTTTTTTCAATATTCAATATTATATTTATTTGTGAAAACAAGCGTTGGTCGGTTTTGTAAATTGATCTGTACTAGGTCTCTCCTTTACATTTTACGATACTTTATACAATAGAATAAATAAAAAAAAGAAATAAGTGAGAAATATTTAATTAATACAAACAAATTTATTTTTACACAGAAAGGAATTTTAATTTAAAAATTTTATATTATCAGTTATCATTTTTATGCATAATTATGCATAATTAAATCAACAGTTTTATTCGATGAATTTATTTAATTTATATTCAAATTCGCGCTATAAAAACAAAAACATAAATCAATTCTTTTATTACCAAAGATCTTATTCAAAAAATACATTCGAAAAATATTATAACAACTGCATCTTAGAATTTTTTTCTTTCATAAATGAGTATAATATAATACTGTTTTTTCAATGTGTAACACATGATAAACAAACAACCCAATTATCTAGAAATACTTTAGTCGATATAATTATCGTGAAGCAACACACAGGTAGCTTTGAATCCTGTTTTAACTTATTCTTCAACCGGTTTATACTAGAAAAATATCTAAAAAAAAATATATATATATATATACGTCTACGGTGCAGATTTCCAATTGCAATTTGATTTCTGATATCATACATCCTTGAAAAATCATTGAAAGGAAAAGTTCTATTCGATATAATGATTGTGAAATTTATTCTAGGAATATAAAACTCAATGTTTGATATAAATTATGTCGTAATTGATCAAACGATCTACGATAAAAAAAAATTCTACAAGATCTTCAAAAATCAGAAATAAGAAAATGAAAGGTTACAGGATTCAATATGTTTAGGATTTTAATTTATGAAGAGAAAGTTTACTCGATGAATTTGCTTGTGTAATCCTTAAGTAAATGTCAATCAAAAGAAAATAAATCTTGAGAATTTTGTACACAAAAATAAAAAATTATTCGTTCTTTTTTCGAAATTTCTTTTAGTTCATTAATGTTTTCTTTTAATTTTTAATCGTAAATGATTATAAATATAAACTAATGAATAAATAATTATAAATAATATATATAAATTCATTCTTGAAATAGATTTATAATCATTTTTTAGAGATAAATTGTAAATAATAAAATTGTAAAAAATTCTAACTAATATATGGAAAAAGTTCTTTTTTGTATTTCCTTGAAATTTAGTAAATTTATGATTTTACAAATCAATATTTAAAAATAATAATAAATATAATAAAAAACATTTTATTATCAAGGATAGAGAATTACCTAGGAGATGAAATAATTTAATTGTTCACTTTTTCGATATAAATGAGCATCGATTATTTTATTGGTTGGTTGTTGTTGAGTGTTCTATTTGGCTGTATTTTTAATTGAAAATTTGAATAAGATCGTATATGTAGATTAGTCAGTACACGTGGCTGATCGTAATTTCGCCACTTGACTCGCCAACAACTTATTGTGTCGTAATTCAAGTGCACGGTCACTGTAATCATGCTCAGTGTCGAACTACCTATTTGACGTTTGTCCTGACCTTGTATCTTCTTTCACGAAATAGTCCTATTAGTATTCTTTTCCTACGCTGTTTAATTCATTGAAAGAAATATGACATACCTGTCTTCTTTTCATATGCATAGTTTTTTTTTAGAACAAAAGATTTAAATTAGATGTTTTATCGTTTTTGCGACTTTATTTTTTTAATGTTATTTTATATAAGTTTGTTTTATAAAATAAAGAATTTTAATTTTAAAAAATAATTCATTTAAGATTTTTCTTTAATTTTCATATACAAATTTCATATTTTATTCCTAGCATCGACAAACGGAAATTCTCACTTGACGGCATCTCAAGTTTAAGAAAAAAACTTGAGGATTCGAAAGAATCATCATTAGGAAAAGTTTAAAGTTATGACAACATCCAATGGTGAGTCAAAGAATGACAAAAAGCATTTTTCAATTAATATTTAATATTTTAAAGTATCGTTATATTATTTTGATTTTCTATCATTTAATTTTATGATGAAAAGATTGAATTAGAGAAAAATTCAATAATATAAATATTCTAAATTTAATTCAACAAATTTAAATTGTAATGTATCAAACAAAAAAGAAATATCAAATAATTATATTTACAATTATTTATCTTATCGAGATACTAAAATTTATCTTAATATTTTATGGATACATTATTAATTCATAGTGTTAACAATCGAGATACGCGACATAGAATTCAAATATGTATGCCTGAAAAATTGTTATTTTTCTACATATATTAGTATAACAGGAACTATTCCTTCTCATTCTTTTTCAATTATCATTGATGACAATTTCGATAAATATGCAAATATTCTTTTTATTTAGATAAAAGATAAAATCGCGATTTAAGCGGACACTATTTATCGTGATATTTAATCTTACAATATTTACTAACGAATTATCATTTCTAACAGCTAAATATGTTCTCTGACTGATTTGTGACCAATTTTGATTCATTGCACATGATAAAATAAAAAATCTACACTTGAATAGCTTACCTTAATTTAAGAAAAAGAATATTGGTATTTTTATAATGAATAATGTGATTGGTATTAATCATTGATATTATTAAATAATTAAAAAGATAAGTGATTAAAAGTGATTAAATATAAAAAAAGTGATTAAAAATACACTGATAAAATACATAATAAATTTTTAGATATTTTTTTGTTTAACACGTTTCATATCATATAGATCACCAATAATTCATATTATATAATTAATGAAAGAAAAATATTTAATACTATATTCATATAAATATTATAAAATGGATCAATAAAAATTCTCATTTTCAATATTTCTCAAATTAAAAATGAAAAAATTTTTTAATCTTTTAAATCAATCTTTTTCTTAAATAATAAAAAAAATTATTTAATATCTGTCTTGACTTTATGTTAGTTTTTTTTTTTAGTTTTTTTTTGATTAACTTTTACATGAAAAATTTTTCTGTTACTTTCTCTTACTATTGATACGCTTTACGTATTAAATATTAATGTTTTATATAGTTTGATATTTAAATGGAACAAATATAAAAGAAATTTTAAAAAAATATTTAAACTAAAATTTTATTTTTATAATTTCTTTTATTTAGGGATAAAAAATGATCAAACATCATCAATACAATGGCAAAAAATTCATACTGGTCAAGATGAAGATATGGTAAGTATAATAAAAATAATTCTATAATTTCATTTTAATATTTTAATTAAATTAAATATATTACTTTTAGCGAGTTTATGGATTTAAAAAGAGCAAGTTAAAAAATATTCTGATTTATGTTTCTTATATATTAACCCTTGGGTGGGTCAGATTATTCTTCCATTGGTATCCTCAATTACATCTTTATGCTACCCATAAAAAGTGTGCTTTAAATTCTGCCACAAAATTACTCATAACTGTAAGAATTTTATTCTAAAGAAATTTTTCATTAATTATTTAAAGATTATCATTTTAAAAAGTTCAGTTTCTTGAAATATATTATATTTCTTATTATATTTATTAATAATTTTTGTAATTTTATAATCTTTATATATATTAAAATATTTGTAAAGTGTAAATTTATCAAATTAATAAAATTAACATTAATTAATAGATTAATTAAAAAATTAATTTAATACATAAATATGGTTTTATAGGATAATTATCAAGGAAAATATAAATCATATTTTGTAAAAGATATAAAAACTATTTCAGTGAAGAATATCAGGTCAGTTTTGAATTCATATATCAATTTAGTCTTTATAGATTCATATTTTATTTTGTTCCTTTTTTTTTTTTTTATTAGTTTGGAGAGCAATGATAAACATCTTATTGAAGAAATTAAATATAAAAAATTAAAAATTAATTTAGAAAATGGCACACAGTGCGAGTTGTATGAATACAAAGCATTTTGGTGTAAAAAACAATGTTATATCTGGGACGTTACACAGAATAAATTCTCGAGATTGGTAGGTTTAGACAAGTATACACTATGCTCGGATCTTAATCTTAGTAGCAATCATGGACTCTCTAAAGAAGAACAATGCCTTAGGTAATGATAAGATAAAAATCTAACGAATAATAATTTGTGTTTCGTACTTCTAAGAAACTGGCCACTCGAAATAATTAAATAATTATTCAAACAAGTGATTAATGTTTTAACTGATTTTATCTCACTAAAATATATAATTTTATCGATCATAAATTCTTAGTCTAATATTTAATCTAACAAATTCATTAATTTCGAAGATTATTATTATTTTATTTTAGATTATTCGAAATTAATGATTATATATTTTAATTTATACTATTTTTTCTCTATTTTTTTGTAGACGAATTGTATACGGAAGCAATGAAATCGTTGTTCCTGTGCAAAGCATAGGCGTATTACTTTTGTTAGAAGTTTTAAATCCATTTTACATTTTTCAAGTTTTCACTCTTTGTGTATGGTTTGCAGAAGGCTATTTGTATTATACTGCAGCAATCATATGTATGTCATTGTTTGGAATTATAAGTTCTATAATACAAACTCGTAAGGTAAAAATATTATTTAATATTCTGTGTTAACGTTTCGAGCCAGGTTCTATTTAAATACATCCCAATATTATAATAAAAAACAATTACAATTACAATTATTATAATAAAAAATTTTTTTAAATATTATTTTAAAGTAATATTATTTCAAAATTTTAAAATATTGCTTCTACAAAATCTAAATAACTAAAATCTATAAAATAAAAGTAAAAGTTATTTTACGAAATCATGTTTTATTAAATAGAAGTTTAATGTTAACATGTAAATAATTACAGAAAACTGAAGGACGTTATTCACTTTCTAATTCTTACAACCTCGCTATATTTGTTCTATAACATATAGTAGAACAAGGTAGTCTTCTCTTACACAATTTACTAGAATTTCTGTTTATTGTAAGTATTTAAATGCCCAAGGCTCAAAGCGTAAATATAATTGTTCAATATTTCTTTAAAATCTTTATTCATATTAAAATGAGAAACATTTTGCAGAATCAAATTAATCTTCGTGGTACAGTGGCATCAACAGAAACTGTTCGCGTGTATAGAAATTCTAAAGTAGTAGAAAACATACCCAGTAGTGATTTGGTACCGGGTGATATCATAGAATTACCTAAACATCAAGCTATTGTTGTTTGTGATGCAGTATTATTAACTGGACAATGCATTTTAAACGAATCAATGCTAACTGGTACAATTGAACAACAATTAGATTTTGTTATATATTTTTATATATTTATTCATATTTTTTTCATTGAATATATAATTTTAGGAGAATCTGTACCGGTGACGAAAACTCCATTGCCATCTCATCACATTTTGTATGATTCTAAAGAATGTTCTCATCATACAATGTATAGCGGTACCACTATTATCCAAACCAGGTATTATTATATTTGAAAATATAATTGTATAATTACTACAAACACTAATAATTCTAAATTATTAATATTTTCGTCGTTAGAAGTTACGGCGATCATCCAGTTCTAGCTCGAGTTATCCGAACAGGATTTCATACTAATAAAGGTTCTTTAGTTGCGGCCATTTTGTACCCACCTCCGGCAGATTTTAAGTTTGATCAAGATTCTTACAAATTTATTGGCATATTAGCATTTATTGCAACATGTGGTTTCATCTATACTATTGTGACCAAAGTACGTTTTATATTTTAATTTAATAATTTAATGTAAATAAAATATTATATTTCTGTTTTTTTTTCTAGGTTTCCAGGGGAATTACAGCCGGAGATATAGCGATAAAAGCCTTGGATATAATAACAATAGTAATTCCACCGGCATTACCAGCTGCAATGACGGTGGGAAAATTATACGCTCAAGTACGACTAAAACGAGCGCAAATATATTGTATTAATAATAGAGTTATTAACGTATCTGGTAGCATAAATTGCGTATGTTTTGATAAGGTAAAAATGTAGTTTTTATACAATTCTATACAATTATATACAATATATCTAAGAATATTATATTTTTTTGTCTATACATTATTATAGACTGGTACTCTGACAGAAGATGGTTTGGATATATGGGGTATTGTACCTTGCACAAACGGAATTCTTGGTGAATCAGAAAGAACTATTCCTAAATTAAATGATCATCCTCTTTTTGAAGGAATGTTAGTTTGTCATAGTTTAACATTAATTGATGGTGAACTCTGTGGTGATCCTTTAGATGTTAAGGTAGATTTTATTATTATTATGTGTTAAATTGAAAAAAATTTTTTTAAATTTAGAAAAAAAAAGAAAAAGTAACTATTTATTCTTTACTTTAGATGTTTGAAAGTACCGGATGGATATTAGAAGAGTTCAATAATGAACATTCGCATAAATATGATTTTATAGCATCTACAATTTTAAAACCACCGAAAAACAATAATTTTACACAAAATATGAATGAAATATCAGAAATCGGAATAGTACAACAATATCAATTTTCAAGCTCTCTTCAAAGGATGTCTGTAATAATACGCATTCTAGGTTCAGATACATACAAAGCCTATACAAAAGGATCACCTGAAATAATATTTAGTTTAAGTAAACCCGAAACTATCCCGAAAGATATAATGATTTCTTTAAAATATTACACGGAACAAGGTTATCGAGTAATAGCTATGGGACGAACAGAATTACCTGAAAATAGTAATAAAGTAAAAATGATAATTTTAATATTTATTTTATGAATTTTTATCTATATAAGTATTAATTTTTAATGATATTTTCTTTGCTTTTATAGATAATGAAATTACCTCGGGATGCAGTTGAACAGAATCTCGAATTCCTAGGTTTAGTTATTATGGAAAACAGATTAAAAATACCAACTATACCAGTTATTAAAGAGTTAAGGACGGCTAACATACATATTTTGATGATTACAGGTAATTAGAGTTTAGCAACTGTGTGCTAAAACACGTTTATTAGAAAATTATTAATTATTAGATAACGAAATAATTTATTTATTTTTCACAATTGCAGGAGATAATATTCAAACTGCAGTAAGTGTTGCAAAAGAATGTGGTATTTTATCAATGCAAGAATTTGTAATAGATGTAACTGTAGTTATGGAGGAAAATAAATTACAACCTGAAATTTATTTTAATGCTCAAGAAATATCGCCAAAATTGGTAATCTTCAATTCTTTTAAAAATTAAAAAATTTGATATTTTAGAATAATAAAAACCATGATTATTTTATTTTTCAGAGTTTTCATGATAAAAAATTTAATATATCAGAATTGAAAGATATAGAAAGAAATATAAACAATATTAATTATCGTTTCGCATTGACAGGCCAGTCATGGCAATTATTGCGTGAACATTATCCGGATATTGTGCCAAAAATTTGTGTCCGTGGTGCAATATTTGCACGAATGACAAGCGATCAAAAACAACAATTAGTTCTGGAATTGATGCAACTCGGTTATTATGTGGGTATGGATCTATATTTAATATTTACTATACATTAATCTCATTATTCCGTCAATATTCATTTCAAAATGTTTCGTACATATTATAGCGATGTGTGGAGATGGTGCTAATGATTGCGGTGCTTTGAGAGCTGCACATGCGGGTATATCTTTATCCGAAGCAGAATCTAGGTATTAAACAATATTATTTCTTTGTTTTTATATAATATAATATAACAACTTCGCATTTAATTTTCATTTTTTTTTTTTTTTGATAAATTCATCGTATGATTTTTGTATCATAAATTTTTAAAAGTTGAACTTATATTTTCACTTTTTTTTTAAATTATAGAAAATTCCTGAAAAAAATAATTTTCTATTTAAAAATAATTAATTAAATTTTTATTGATATATTCTATTTAAATTATTTTTAATGTTTCAGCATTCTAATTAAATATTGAATATATATAATTTTTAGTGTCGCCAGTCCTTTCACATCCAAAATACCAGATATAACCTGCGTTCCAAAAGTGATAAAGGAAGGTCGCGCTGCTTTGGTTACATCATTTGGAATATTCAAATTTATGGTTACTTATTCTTTGACAGAATTTTTATCCGTTATTATTCTTTACTCTATCGATTCAAATTTGACAGATTTAGAGTTTCTCTTTATCGATATTTGTCTTATCGTTAATTTTGCTTCTTTTTTTGGAAAAACTCAAGCATATGAAAAGCAATTAGTAAAAAAACCTCCTATGACTAGTTTATTAAGTTTTACATCGATTTTTTCTTTGTCTATACATATGTTGATAATGACAATTTTTCAAGGTATAGCTTATCATATGGTACGCACTTTTCCATGGTTCACACCATTTATTTATGACGAAAAAATTGGATACATGTGTTATGAAAATTATTCAGTTTATTGTGTTTCTATGTTTCAATACATAACAATGGCTATAATATTTTCACGTGGAAAACCATATCGCAAAGAAATTTATACAAATATTGCATTCACGTTTTCTATAATTATGTTAACCATCATTTGTACCTATATCACAATTTATCCTGCAAATTGGATAATAAATTTACTTCAATTACTTGTACCTCCAATGTTCGATTGGAGAATTATTATTTTAGTACTCGCTTTTACGAACTTTGTAGTTTGTCTTTTCGTTGAATCATTTGTCATAGATTATTTAATTGAGAGAAAATTGAAATCGAAATTTTATAAACCTGAGAAGTCTAAAAAAGAATATTTAAGAATAGAACACGAATTAAAGCATAATTTAAATTGGCCAATACTTAGTAAAGAATTACCAATGTTACCATTAACACCGAGTGTAGAAAATATCATTAATGTAGCATATACAGAAGAACAACTTTATGTTAATAAAACAAAAAACAATTTAAAAAGCAATAATTTTCATGAAACAATAGAATCATCTAAAAAAAATAATGACTTATATGCATTTGATAATTATACATATGTAGATGATGAAATACCACAAAATACAAATATGATAACTAGATTTTAAATCTTATTTTAGAAATATATTTTAAATTATAAATTTTCAATAATAATAATATATTTACATAAAATATTTTTGAAGTTCAAAATAATTATCTGTAAAATAACATTTACTTATATACGTAATTATTGTACGTTTTTATATGTATAATTATATAAATATGTAATATAATGATATTTAATAATTTATTAACATCATAAAATATATTGTTTTTTCATAAAAAATTTTAATACAATATAAAATGTATTTATCATATATATGTATATTTATTTTTTGCTCAATAGAAAATTTGAGTATTCATGAAATAAAACAAATTACATATCATAAGACGAGATTTTTTGTCATCTTTAGATCCAATGATTTCAATTTTTTTAGCATTTTCTGTAATATGAAAAATAATTGCATTATTCATAAATTTATAAATTTACAATTAATAATAAAATAACAATTATAAATATATTTTTATAAATGTTTTTTATGAATATATTTACCTATAATATCTTTATAATTTATTACAAGTTCATTCTGAATCCAATCTCTATAACGAAGCACAATCTTATTTATTATTTGTATTGTATTTTCATGTATTTTTGGTTTTAACAAAAAATTTGGCAAAGTTGAGATAAATTTTTTAAATGCATTTTCCCTACAATACAAACATTATTATAAAAAGATAGAATAAAATAAACATTATTATAAAAAGATAGAATAAAATTACAATATCAATTACCTATGCAATTCATGTAAAGTATGATCTAACATTATGTCACTAATGACAGAAAATAATTGTAATTGCATTTCTTTTTTAAATTGATTACAACATATATTTACAACTAATTGTAAGGTTTTACTCAAATCAAAATGATTTTTATACCAAATTTTACTTGCTTTTAAAAATAATATTCTTAAAAGTTTAATCAATTGTGGTAATGCAACATTATTTGTATCAGACCAATTTTCAAGTTTTTCTGGATAAGAAAAAGCAATTTAATATATATTGTTTAATAGTTAATTACTTAATTAGTAATCTCAAAAATTAATTTTATTACATTTACCATTTAAATATTTAATAACACATATACAATAATTTTTATTTAATTTAGACATAATTTTATCATCTTTCTCTATGGATGTAAACCATACATAAATTTGACAAATTCCTAAGTTATATCCTAAACAAACATCATATGATTCATCCATAGAAAAATCTTGTTGACGTTTCTTATTTTTTAATGAAGAAAGAAAATTTGCAACTACATTTAATTTATTATATGGAAATTTCAAAAATAAATTTTTCGTATAAGAATTCTCAAAATTATTTTTAAACCAAAATTTCATATTTATATCACATTCTGTATGCAAAATATCTATGCACTCAATTATTAATTGTATTATTCCTATTATACTTTTTAATAATTCTAATGCTTCTATAGAAATTAAAAGTGTAGAATTCTCTACATTTTTATCATTTGGACATACTTCAATCCAACTCTCAAGTATAAGTGGCATTAATAATTCTACATATTTCATAAATTTATCTGCATTCAAACTGTTATCAATATTATTTTTTTCCAAATTGTTAAATTTCTCAAAATCAATTTCATAATTTTGAATATTTGTTTTCATATAAATAGGAACATATCTAATATTTTTATTCACATTTATAACTTTTATATTTTCATCTAAACTAATAGTCTGTTGAAATTTAAAATAAGTAACAATAGAATTAAACATAGTAGTAAGTCTCTCCAATACTTTTATCCGCCATTTAATATTAGTGTTTTTGGAATTTAAAGTTGTTACTAATTGTCTTCCAGGTTTCATTTCTGTATGCAATTTAGAAATCATGTCTAAAAAATTTGGCAATATTTTATAACTATTTTTTGCTAAAATGTTATTACAATTTTGTACAAGCACATCCAAAAAAAGTAAAGCATCTTCTTTAATATGAGAATCTATGTGTGTCATAGCACATCTTAAATAAGAAATCAATATATCACAATATGGATTAAGCTGATCATTAGAAATTGGACCAAGAATTAGACTCAAAACTTTCAAAGAATTACGTCTTATATCTTTCTCTTTATCAAGAGACAAAGCACAAATGCCTTGCAAAAGAGAACCAAATTGTGAATTTAATAATTTTACAGTATGTTCTGATAAAATTTCTTTTAATTCCTTTACAGCATCTTGTCGAACTGTTGAATTATGATGTTGTAAACGTAATAACAAATCCTAAAAAAAAAAATGTTTAATCATCAATCAATTTAATCAATTTTAAAGAGAAAAAATTACAAATGTACAATACCTTAACATTGAGTTTTCTTTTACTAAGTATTTCCATTTCATCATGTTGTTTAAATTGTTCTCGTATTAAAATTTTTTTAATTTTAAATGATGTATCTGTGATATTTAATCCTTTTGGTAGATGTTTTGTCTTCGTTATTTTTAATTTTATTTTTGCCTTTTCAGATTTTAGGCGTTTTAAATGTTTATGGTTCTTACCCATTATTAAATTATGATTATAATAATTATATAAGTAATATAATATATTTCTATTAAATTTATATTAAAAAAAGTGTTATGTATATCTTTATTTTAATTTTAGGTTATAATATTAATAGTTATAATATAGT